CCGGCTGTAGATCGCAGCCTGACACCCAGGAACACCTCCCAGCCACGATGAAACTGCAAACCGTTAGGAGGAGAGGAAGATATATGGTGTCTAATCTAAATGTACCTGCGACTGCCTATGTTAACGATCGGAAAACCTCTTATTGTAGGTAGATCCAGAAAAGAAAAAAGAAAACATGAAATTAAAATGAGTGCTTTCGACATGGGCACGCGTGCATTTCGTTCAAATTAATCAAATAAACCAAATCCCGAATCGAGGAACAGAAACCGGTCCTAGCAGATGTTAGAAACCACGTTCGTGGACGAGGAAACCAGTAGTGTTCTGCTGTTACGTTCACGATTGGCACAAGGGCAGCAAGCCATTCCTGCAATGACCTAAGCGTTTCTGAGGCGCCAACAAGGCTACATTACCAATAATCGATGCTAATTGGACAACAAATCGTTCGCGTATCCCAATAAAGCAAGAGAAACTCCTTTTCTCGGTTTCGATTTTTGAGTTCAAAAAAGGCTCGGCATTTTGAAAAGTAGAGAAATGGCTTCTCTTGAAAACCTGGATACTTGGACAGGCCATCCTCACTGGTTGTTCGGGCCCCAACACATTCTTCATTGTTCGGAGTTTCGCTGGTTTAACCATTGTGCTTTCCTGGAGCCCCATGGTCGGCCTGGCCAAGGTCTGCCTTAGGTAGTCACCACCACAGGCTGTCTCAGCCCTTGTGGATCCGATGGAGATTTGCCACCATGAAACAAGTTTGATACCAGGGTGGTATATCCTGGCATCAGTTTACTCTTAGCGGGGCTTCGTGGTGGAAACGCCGGACTCCTTAGTTCGAGAGATCCTACCAAGGGATGAATCGTCTTGCTGTATAACGCAGCCCGACACCCAGGAACACCTCCCAGCCACGGTTATTCGGTAAAGCGTTGGAAGAAATGGTTTCGCTAGGTTATAAAAAACTTCTCCAGTTGTTATTTATAACTCAGGAGGTAAAGAGTAAACAGTTTGTACATGTTCGTCCCGCCTGAATTTCCTGTTCGGTTTGAACGAACTGTAATGTGGGGCGGCGCCTCACGTTCTCTACTCCCACTATCTAATCGATCCCACTATCATCACTCGTACCCGCGACACTTCATCACCGCTAAATTCGTTAGTGACGTTTCCAAGTAATTTCTTCCTCAAGCTTTCATAGCTTCTATGATATTTCTCCTCTTAGCAATATTCTGTATACCTTTGCGATGGTTTGTTAACAATGACATCAGTATTTAATTCGTTGAAAGGAGGTTTTCAAAAGGTTTCTTATTGGACCTCTGGATTGGTCACGAATATTCGTCATTTCACTTATTTCATCTCGAAATCCTTTAAACTGCTTCTCAGCATGTTTTAGGTGAATCATTGTTGATCGAGTAGTTTCTTATCGCCAGTTTCCTTGTTACTACATGATGGCAGTAGGAGCTTTTCCCTCGTCTCCTAAACTTCTAACCAGGCCGGCTTGATGTCGTCATGAACACTTGAAGTAGAACACACGGTCTCGGTTTAATGTTGCTCATGCCCAGCCTTTGTTTGAGTCATGACGTGGAAGGAAAAAATTATAGCTAAAATGTGTCTTTGAAGCTTTTAAGTTAATAGGAATGTTTTAAGACATTCTTAACACACTTTTTCGAAATTTAGCATACTACTTGGTGAAGATTAATGTCTATCGCAAATCTCAAGATTTTGGGTGCCTTAGAGTGTCAGCCGTGAGGAACTTACCCTTACAACTCAAGAACTCACCATGTAAGCTTTAGAATGCCATCCACGACCATGAGGTTAAAGCGTTCTCGTTTTGTTTTCGCCTTCGAACTTAATGTTAATTTTTACCTTTTCTTGATGATTCTCGAAGTTATGAAAGGAAGCCGTAAAAGTTCAAGCGAATCAATGTGTCTATGTATCAGTTACGTGGAAAGTGTGTTCGCGTATCGGGTGTGTTCTTGCTAAGACATAAGCCATCTAATTATACTCAGCAGATTAGAAGACAGCTATTGTCGCTTTTGTAATAGCGTGGTAAGCTAGTAACCTCTTTTCTTTCGAAGTAAGCCAACAATGTAAAGCTCTGCTTAGATCAACTTTCTCTGCCTGATCTGGAACCTGTGAAAAGCAGAATCACTGGAGTTTACACACATTGTTCAAGTTCAAAACCAAAATTTCATACTTAGTCATGGTGCCTTCTAAAAACTATTCTCTGTCGCGCCGTAAACGAGTGGAAGCGAATGCTTGCTGTGTGTTAAGATTTTTATGTCACTCTGACATTGCATTATAGAGATTCGAGAAGATAGTGGAACTTACTGTTGTCGAAATTTTGTTGTCCCTACTTCGAACAAGCACATTGGAAATTATTTTTACTGAACAAAACACCAGTCAACATTTGCTTATATTGTTGAGCTTACACGAGGTTGGTGATGCTTGATCGGCTAACGTTTCGACGTCTTCGTCTTCATTAGAGCTAACGTTTATTGCGGATGGTACACAGTCGTTCCTCTTCTCGATGTGGCGTCTTCGTCTCGCATCGAAAGAAGTCATAAAGTCATAAACATAAGTCGAAAACTCGGATTCAGTACAACTCATCAAAACATAAGTCAACGGAGTTGTCATAGGACATTCTGATCAACCCCGATTAGGTGCGCATTCCTCGAATTCCGAGTTCTTAGCATTTGATTAGAATGACTTCTAAGCTGCGATTTCGCAAACCAGAAATGGAAGATTATAGTGATGACTTTATGCTTATCCACATCTCAATAATTGATTCCTAGAGAAACATGAAAGACCGCCAATTGTATTTTAAAGAAGCATCGCGACTTTCTTCTCATTTGTTGGTCTCGATTACCAGCAAACATGTGTTTTAGCACACTTTCATTTGGAAAGACTATCGAGAATATTATGAGACAATGCTAACTGATCCACTGATTTTTAATTTTATTCTCAACAGAATGAAGTCGATGGTGCAAGCGGACTGTGGAGGGCCGAATGCACTTGTGAGTCTCGCCCAGAACTACGGTGCTTCCAATCAGCGCGCAGCTCAGACTGTTAAAAGTGGTATGGTGTTCTTCTCCTAATTCTGTTATTTGTGCATAGTCTTCAGTGTTGAATTTGTAGTAAAGTTATTAACAATAACACATTACGTTGTGTGGATCTATAATTTCCAAAAATATGTTCTGCTACATCGTGTTTGCTGTAGAACTGAAGCAAAGTTATAGCCACAGTTTCAATGCCTAAGCAGTAATAAGTTGCCGATATGAAGCGATTCCTAATGTCAGTATAGATAGAGCAATACTTTTTTGGAAAAATTGTCTCTAAAACAGAAGTGTACGGAATGAAGCGTAGTCTTGCTCTATTATTTAAGTATAATTCATCTCCGATTAAATGCGCCACAAAGTGCTTGTCCCTTCGACACTTTCATTCAAAGGCAGTAGCTGTGCCGATGGTCGTAATTGATCTGGTTCAGTGCTGAATTCTAAAAAGAAGATGTTATATCTCCGAGCGAAGCGTGGGGTAATGTGTTTACAGTTCACTCCGATTTGCTCATTGCTGTGGTCTAAGCCGATTTAAGCATAGTGGCGACTACCGTATATCCGGTGTTCCTTGCAGTTTTATTAATGAAGAAGCAAATGTCTTCAACTCTGTCTGTCTTCAACACAACTTCACTTTGAAGATTTGAAAGTAGATTCTTTCCGACATCAGTTATGGCATATTAATGCTTTTAAGAATTTGTTTTCGGATCCTTCATGAAGGGACAATCTTCCTCTGTAACCTCAGTCAGGTCTATTTTTAAGCGGATTTGTGTCTAAACAGTTCATGAGTGTCAAAGTGCGATGCTAAGAAAGGTTCATTGGCCAGTAGACTCTCCTGAGAATGGAAGCTTATTTAAGAGCAGACCAGCGCTAGGAATTATTGGCATCATGGCAACAACATAGCCGCGAACTGATAAGGGATATCGAAATTTGAAGGCCATAGCAAGGCGTTCGAAACTGCAGAGAGAGAAAGTCTTCCTCGAGCAACAAGTTGCAAATCAAATGATGTTCGTGATTTTTGAGGTTGGACCATTCAATATTGAAGCAGCAAAGCAAATTTGGAACTCTTCGATAGTCATGGTAATATGTAACTCTGTGTTTTAAAAGAGGATCAATAATTGAACAATTTCATATGCTATATTGTAGTCTTTATATTATTCTTAATTGTTCATGTTCAAATTCTTTTAATAAGTACTGTAAAACGCTTTAGAGTGCGATTATAGTTAGAAATCAGATTTTTCCCACGGTTTCTAATTCCGCTTTATTTTGCAGTCGAGTGGACGTACCCAGTTTTTCGGGGAACTATTAATTTGTTAAATTAAAGCCATATCGTCATCGAGGAAATTTGTGTGTCCTATATTTGGCACTCAATCTAAACCTGAAAGCTTTCTTTTTAGGATACTCCTCTGTTTTTTTATCCTGTTTTTTTGCTTTTTTTTCGACTTTAAACTCGGAATGATTAAAATGTTTTACGTAATAACCGAACACTCCGTTCTGAGAATTCGAAGCATGCGTTGTATTTTAATAGTAGCTTCTTTGCATTCTATATTCCTGCCGTATTAGCAATGTTGACACTTGGTTGAGACAGTAAAATTATCGGAAGTTCATTCAATACACGTTTTCCTTAGAAAAGAGCGCTTATAAGAAATATGTTTCGAACCGCCGCTAGCGTGTGCACAGGTAGAGAGCAGAGGGAAGAATCCTCGAAACTGGCGCGACAAATAGCCATCTCAAATGGTTACGAAACTGTAGCTTCTCAGGATAGGCATCGAGGAAATCCCACGCCCCAAAGCGATAATTCTAGTGAAAACAAGGCTCCGTTTCTGTTTCCCTTTATTTCAAACGAAATAAGTGCAGCTATAAAACGCTGCTTAATAAGGGCCGGTCTAGAGAATTTCGTAAGAGTGATAGAAATACCACCGGACACTCTAAGACGCCAGCTAGTTCGCAACCGCCTGTACGACCGTCTATGTACAACAAAAAACTGCATAATTTGCCCAAATGGTAGAGACGGTGATTGCATGAGTTCGGGTACAGTCTATCTGATCTCTTGTAAAGCGTGCGGGCACGAATATGTTGGCGAAACGGGTAGACCGCTCTGCGTCCGCATAAAAGAACACCTAGTCGGTAAATCTAAACTAAAACACAATACTCCACTAGGCGCGCATAGGATGCAAGAACACAACGGAGAAGATTTTGAGGTAGGAGTCACTATCCTTACGCAGGAATCGAAAACATCAGCGCGAAAAACTCTTGAAGCGTTTTGGATCAATGCCAAAAATTCAAAAATGAACCGCAAGGAGTGTCTTGTCATCACGCGTGACCTAGCGCCATACCTCAGGCTGATCCAATGATCTGACATGGACCCAGTTATCGACCATGTATTACTCTGTGCGGCGGCTATCCACCAACTAACTTAAATACTTACGACAAATAAACGGTAGGTGTTTGAATGAAGCTGTTTCTTATGCGAACACAAATCGATTTATCAAGTTTTATCTGCTAGGGTTATGAAAGTGTTTGGCTGAGTAGATCGCATCTCAATTTGACCTTTCCAGGCTCTGAAGAAGGCGAAACCGCCGAAACGTCAGCAATTGTGTTCTAATAAATTCTATATTAACAACCTCGTGTCTGCTTATTGATGAAAAACATTGAATTATCAATTAATGCCGAGGTTAACAGAAAGTCGGTCATGGGAATTATCGGAAGTTCATTCAATACACGTTTTCCTTAGAAAAATTTTGAGTTCACTGTAGGCGAATCGTCTTGTTTTATTATATCACAGTAAAGCAGGGGCGGGTGACGCAGTGGTAGGAGGCGCCCTGCGACACATATGTAGAATCGATCCCCGCGCCCATGAGCCACCAAGCCTTCCATCCCTCCGGGATTGGCAAATGGGTTACCAGACTTCTCTGGGAGGATGGGAGCACTGACTCTGGTACATCGGTAGACCACCATGAGTCATTTTAAAGGCCAGATATGCATTCAATCACCTCCAAGCAATGCTTAGTGAAGTCGAATGCATGGCGCATCCGTCAGGAATTGATCAATACCGAGAGCTTTTTTTTAATCAGTAATGTAGGAACAAAGTTGTGCAACTTGAGCATCGTACAAATTAAATTTATAAAAGGATAAAAAACGATGCTGTCCGTCATATTTTTCTCAGGGATGCGCCATGCATTCGACTTCAACAAGCATGGTGGAGATGAATGAATGGATATCAAGCCTGTACGATTAATTGCAGTCTATTATCGACAATAAGACAGTATTTTATTCTTCCAAAAAAGTTTGATATCAAATTAGGTACTATTGAGGAATAGAGAGCTGGGTTAACCCGGGATGTAGGATCGAATCATAGACTATTTTACATCACATGGCATCGCTAGCCACTGCGCTACAGCCGATTTTGAATTAGGTTGATAAGTAAGGAAATTCTTGGGTCGGAATAAAAACATTGCCGAATCACTGTTTAAAATTACGTGAATTAGCACAAGACGATCACTACCTTGTCATCAACAATGTGACTATTCCCAAAAGCCGAAAGTCTTGAGACTTCAAGTTTTCTTCATCAGAATACGTTCAGTCCAAGTTTTTTGATGTCCACAGTGCGGCAATTTCCTTCCCTTCATCGAGTGCACTCGTTTTGTATGCGTCTTTCATAAAGATTTACGTATCTAGCAAGCGGTAAGCTGCTCTCTCGCATACCCAGTAGAGAATTTTTCGGAGACTAGCAAGCTATTGCCGGCTATTCCTTCAAACTTTGTTTTGTGCAAATTATGCGGAGGCGATTAAATTAATAAAAAACGTTTTTGGGAATATGGTTTCTTTGTATTTGTTCAACTCATGTAAAAACTGTCAGCTTTCGATTTGTGCTTAATATTCCCTCAGAAAAAATTTAGGGACCGCTCAGTGTAGACACGTCAGTTTGATAGCTCTATGGAAAATTAAAATTTCTAAAAGTACCTTTTCGGCGGAATTCTGATCACACCTCATTTTTTGTGCACTTCTTTTGGAGATTCTTCGTTAAGGGTTCTATTCGCTTTTGCCTTCATCTTCTGTTGGTGAACAGTTCGCAGATGATTTCCTACGACAGAAAGCATTGGCCACTCCAGCGCCATCGACATTTGATATGAAGGTATATGAGATGAATCATAACATATTGGTTGCCTAAAATGGAAAGAAGTTATTGGATATCCTATTTCATAATATTCGCTCTTACTTTTTTTAGTTTTAAAGTATTTCCTTCCTTTTTGACACGCATACACTATTTCGTTCTTAGTTTGAGTGTAAAAACATCTCTTTTTCAAAAGGTCGTCATTTATGTCTCTTTGAGTTAAATTATTCCAAAGTGGGTAATTGAAAGGGAGGCGCTAAACGCTACAGCTCTCCTTTACTCCCACTGCTTCGCTGTTATACTTGGGTCGTTACTTTTTGTGAACCATCCGGTTAATTCATTTAATTCAGGCTTGTTTTACTGTTCACATATTAAATACTTCCAGACCTATTGTGCAGCACTCCGTTTTAGAACTGGTTTTCCTTTGCCATCCAACGTTACTATAAAATTATTTCCATAGATTGCAACGTTGTGGTTCGAACTGCTCTGCAATGTACATTGAAGCGGACGCCGGTACAATCTTACGATCCTGTCTCACCAAACCCTCCATCTCTCTAGAGTCAGCAGATTGATACCAGACTTCTATGAGAGGATAGCAACATTGACTTCATACATAAGTATGCCACAGGTCAAATATGCATTCATCCACCTTTCCAATGCCTGATGAAGTCGAATGCACGCTGTATCCCACAGGGTTTTATCAACGCCGAACGCTTTACGCTCCACATAATCCATTTTGCAAAGCTCTGATTTGGCAATGCGTCCGCAGGCAGCGGATATGGGGTTAATCGTGGACTAAAAGAGACCTTTGCTTCTCTGAGGTATAGGTGGATCCAGAGTATGGACTCCCTCTTTCTGCTGCGCCGATTTGTAGCATGCTTTATTTACTAAAGCGTATTCATATATATATATATATATACATATATATGTGTGCGTGTGTGTGTGTGTGAGTGTGAGTGTGAGTGCGTTCTAATTTATCGGGATTGTATTCCACAAAACAATTCGGCCAATAGCCTGCAATAAAAGTGATAGGGAAGTGTAGGGGCGGTTCGGAGTTGCCTCAAACAAGTAAGCTCCATGTCTCCTTTGTTAGAGGCTGGCAAGCTACTTGTGAGTGTACTCAGTCGCTCCGTTCAGAGGTCAGCAAGCTATACGGTGGTATGAAAAAGTTAAACGCAGTGAGATAAACGAGCTTCATTCTACTAAGCCCGAAAGGGTTCCCCTATTCGGCAGTGTTGAGTAGGATGAGTATGAAGAGGATGCCGAAATTTTAGGGTCATTCTAGGCTGCATAAATCGTAAAGGACTAAGGTGACGATAGGTGCCTACAATGCACGCACACTTTCATCTGCGTCCTAACTAGAAGAGTTGATCACGCAGGCGAAAAAATAGGATGCCGTCATCGGACTGGGCGAGACGAGACGACGCCATCCATTCAGCCCCGTCTATGGCACCGGAAAAGAACTGTTTTTTGGAGCATGCTACAGTAGAAGAGTCGGCGTCAGCGTTCTCGTCAACACGACTTTAGACATGAACACCGATTCATTCGAACAATTAATAACGCGAATTAGATACTTATTGTTGAAGCAAAGCTCATCAATACCGGCGTAGACAAGACAAGACGGAGCAGCTACAGCGTCAACAAATGCAATAGAGAAATATGCCATGCCCACATATGAAATAAAGTAGGATGGATATGTCGTACCATCGGTTCTCCCTTCCGAATTTCGACATAGTATTTCTTCGGTGAAAAGTCGAGTAACACCAAGTCTGGACAAGATAAGATCTGATCGCCTGAACAACCCTCCACTAATCCTCGTAAATACAATAGCTCTGCTCTTCACACGTTACCTGTATGAATTCAAAGTTCCTACTCATGGACGACCAGCAAGACAATGCTATTGTTCATGAAGGGTGACCTCAACGGTGTCGGCAACCATCACCCAATCTGCTTGCAATCAGTCGTCTACAAACTTTTCACTCGTGTTATCCTAAACAGCATCGACAGAGCACTGAACGAAGGACACCCATGTGAGCAATCAAAGTTTTAAAAAGGATTCAGTACGATGGGCCACATTCACACGATAGCAAGACTCATTCAATTACCGCGAGAGTACAAAAAACCGCTCAGTCTTACTTTCACGGATTTAAAAAAGGCTTTTGACTCAGCTGAGATAGAAGCAGTCATGAAAGCTTTGGACATTAAGGCCGTCGTAGCTGAGTATACAAGTAACTGCCACGACCGACTTTCTATTAACCTCGGCATTGATCAAGTAATTTTCTTCGTATTTTTGTTGAGCAAACGCGAGGTGTTATTATTCTTTGTTCACGATTAAGCTGACGTTTCGGCGGATTTCGCCTTCCTCAGAGCCGCTTCCTATGAGGTTTCCACTAAGTATGTCACGTAGAGACCAACCGCACAGAAATCACATGGAAGTATAATGTGATTTGGTTACTTATATACAAAAATACAAAGAAAATTACTTGAGTATACAAGGATATTTCATAGTCGACTTTCTTTTAACCTCGGTATAACTAATCAATATGTATTCTTTTTTGATAAGCTTGTACAAGCTTGATAACATTTTTATTTTCAGCTGTTTCGACGACATCGTCTTTTTCAGAGCTGATGATCCGAGTCGGTGGTCCACAGTTGTTCGTGTTCTCGAGGTTGCGTCTTGGTCGCGCATCGACCGTAGTCTTTCTCAGTGGAGTACCTCTCTCAAATGAGTCATACTCACTCGACGCCGCCTTTTTATACAGCGCTGTGGATGTTGATAACAACGATTGTCTGACGTTAAAGACTTGTTTTTCCATACAGTCTACCCTACAGAAGTCGGTATCATTATCAGCTAGTATGGAGCATAGCGATATTTTAGAACAGACCTTCCTTTAATCTCGGTACGACTAATCAACATGTGTTATTTCTTAAGCATTATAAAACAGCTCATAACTCTCTATAAAAGAGCATCATCGAGTGTATATGGCTCATTTGAGAGAGGTATTCCACTGAGAAAGACTCGGCTCGATGCGCGACGAAGACGCCACCTCGAGAACACGAACAACGGTGGACCACCGATCCGGATCATGGGCTCTGATAAAGACAATACCGTCAAAACGTTAGCCGAAAATAAAGAACGTTATCAACTTTGTGTAAGCTTATCAAGAAAGGAAAACAATCAGTATATAAGGTTTCTATAAAGTATATAAGGAGGAGTGCAAAAATTTCACAAGCAAGATACCACCATTCTACAACGGTATTAACGTCGACTTCAAGCGAGGGATTAGGCAAGGCAATGCCATCTCACCAAAATGATTTGCCGCGACCTTCGAGAACATCATACGAATATTGGAAGGAAACAAGATGGAAGTGAAAATTTTTGGTTCGCAATTACACCATGCTCGCTTTGCTGATGGCATCGTTCTTATAACACCAAACATAAGCCAAGCGGAAAGAGTGCTTGCTGACTTCGATAAAGTCTGCGGAAAAATTGGTTTTCGGCTAAATGTCAGAAAACAACGTCCATAAGGAATGCGTTGGTCACCCATTCTCTCTTCACGCTCAATGGAATATCTCCGATTGCTCCAGTTACGTCTATCTGGGCCCGGAAATCGAAATGATGAATGACTTAGCTCCAGATTTAAGCAGAAGGAAACGAGCGACATAGGTAGTTTTCAGAAGTATCGAGTATGCAGTAAAAAGAACAAGAGAACAAAGAATACGCAACTCCGTGCCCACCTTTTCAACTCCACGATACTTCCTGCCTTAACATATGCATCAGAAATCTGGTCGCTGCGTAAGTAGGATGAAACACGACTGGGCATTTTTCAACGCGCATTCGAGCGGAGGATGTTAGGAGTATCCCGTGTCACACAAGTAAGGGAGTATATCCGAAGCTTCAACCTGTGTGAACGACGAAAAATCAAAGGGTGCTGTTTTATACGCCAAACTGTCGAAGATAAGGTGGGTCGGACACGTAATGCGTTTGAACGACAACCGATGGACAGGAGCTGCTATTGACTGATTTCCTCACGATGTCAAAGTACTGCAGGGAGACCACCGACCCGATCGTTAAGGTTCTTGACGAAAAGCCTAGAGAAAAGGCATGATGCTCAACGAGTTCCTCGAACGAGCGGAATCCACTCCACCAGTCTTGCACGCAACAGGAAAAAATGGATGACCTACTGGCGTCCGCTCGAGTCACTCGACGATTAATAGGACGACGGGTAGTACAGGTGATATGTATTATTTTATTCCTCCCTTTGAACCATTTGCGGATGGTCTCTACGTGAAATGCTCAATGGAAAACTCATAGAAAGCTGTGAGTGTGCCAAGAAACTTTTCTTTTCTCAATGCGATGGTGATGCGACTTGAGTTTGAACTACGATATAGTATGTAGCAATCATTTCAACAATCTATATAAACCGGTGTTTGCTGATCTTCGTTAAACTCGTGTCATGTAGCCACAAATGATAGCAGTGTATAGTACATAAACTGTTGGCAATATTACAGTAAGTTACACAAGAATAGTTGTTTTCACGGATAAAAAGCTATCAATCATCTCTTTGAGGCACTTGCTACACAACTTCCAAGTATATCAACATCGGCGAGGAATCTGGCAAACAAATGGTCGTCAGAATATATTGCTCAATCTGGACATCAGGTGAATCGTTGCATTTTTTTTGGCGCAATATAAGGAAAACGTTCTAAATTAATTGCTTTGTAGAATAGGGAACGCTTTCGGAGAGCTCTACCGCTTCTTCGACTTTTTGTTTTACAATTGTTCTCTTAAGTTTCGCTTTAGCATTAAAATACATGTGAATATGTTTATTAGGTCATAGTCGGTATAAGTATGAGTCTCATTGCTCATTGCTTCAGCTTGCATCGATATGGTCACAGCAATACGCAGCAGGACAACCATCTTACGAGACTACGTGGGCGAGTGCCGTGAGCACGGCGCCACCGCATCCAACAGTATTGCAGAGGTATGTTCTACACCCGGCACCACTCATTCATCACCAAGAACTCATTCTTATTTCAGTTTTCAACAAAGTTTCCAAACAGCTTCGTTATTTGTTTCCTTTTTTAAACCATGTTTTGCGCCTGTAGCGCATTTGTGGTAATTCCATTCGGTACAAGCAAGGCGCTGGTTCGGAATCGGGAAATGGTTGCTAGACTCGTGAGGGACTAGCTGACTCTCTTTGATCTGCAAGCTTGGGGCTGCCTTTGATGAAGATCCGGGAACGCACTACTAATGCTATCCCGGGGTTGTGGGAAAATCGAGTCGACCAGCATTAACAAAATTCATGAAGAAGACAAAATCTACAGGGGAGAACCGGAAAAATCCACCTGAAGACCCTAATGGATGTGACGGATGCGAGGAAACGAATTGAATGTAACAAGTGCTGGGACCCACGGAACATTTGATGCCAGATCGTGTAAAAGAATAACGGATAGTTAAGTTATGCAAAACGAAATGAATTTATGTTGTTGGTAACACGGCGATTCGAGTGCTGGTAATCAGTGATCGGTTCCACTCAGTGTGAGAAAAAGAAGTCATTCTATTCTTAATGGTAGACGAACAATGCTCGTTTCTTAATCGAGAATCTGTTTTCTACTTTTTTCAAAAGATGTTTTCTACTTCTTTTCTTCAATTTTTCCACTGGTAGAACAGGTCCATCATATGGTGCCAACATTCGCATAACTTTCATTTTGTAGCTCCTTGTCATCTGACAGTACCATGTGGTCTTCCGAGTATTTGGACAACATCGACACATCGCTTCAATCAACACCGGTATGAAGAAGAAACTGCATTTGTTTTCATACACCAAAAAATGAACTGAAGTAGAGTTTCAAATGAACGATTTCCAACTCTCTGCATACGTTATTGAAGCTGTACAAAAGGTATAATGAATAGTAAGCCGTCTTACGTTTATATGATTATAACAGCAATGGTATTCTCACCAATCACCTTTTCTAATCAGAAATATGGTCGTATTTAATACAAATGGAAACCAGGAAATATCCTTTGGAGGCGATTTTGCAGCTATCCAGCGAATTGGCTGACAGTTGGGCACAAGAGTTCACTTCTACTGAAGAAGACTTATGGGAAAGCTTGGAGAAAGAATGGCAAGCGGTTCAACCGAATATCGCCTTTACTCAAACAGAAGAGATAACTAACTTTCGACACGAGCTATATGTTCACCAAGTAGGCTATGCTATTGTGTAGATGATGTTCCTATGAGTTTCGTGTATCCACTATTTATGCGCCCAACGTTTAAATCACTTAAATCAAGTGCAGTGTTTCGTAAGATATTCTTCGTAAATGAGAGCTTAATTGTTCCTACTGCTAACACTTGTCTAAGTAAACTTTTCCAAATTAAGGCTCACAATCCATTCCTATCCCATGCCGATCCTATGGCTGAGGGCGACCGATTTATGCAATCTGGAGACCTCGGTAGCGCCATGCTTGCTTATGAGGCCGCTGTGCAGAAGAATCCCAATGATGCCAAAGTCTGTGGTACAAGTTATTCTTTTAGACAAGTCTTTATTTTATCCAGCTCAATATGAGTTTGAAAAGAAAACAGACCAAGAAAAGTTCTTCACCCACGATGTCCATGGTTATCAAAAGAAAAAAAGAAAAACGACTGGTTTAAATCTTAGCTGATTCCTCTGTAAAAATTTCTTAGGAGTGACTCTGTCTTCGGAAGCAATTTGCACTAGGAGATTTCTCAGAGTTAGTCATCTGTTGTTGCCTCATCTGTATTGCATATAACTCCATTGATGGTCTAATAACCTGGACAGTCATCAGTTAAATTTCTGTTCCTAGTTAGATATACTGTTTCTGGTGAAACCTACCCACCGACGTTGTTGAACTGCAATCTATCCTCCTGCGAAAGCGTGATGTTTTACGCGATTTGTGTGATGACCTTTGTACTCTTGCATCACGTTGAAATGTCCTTCTTCATTTTTGTTCTTAATTACAAACATCGCTTCACATAGAAAACTCCCGTGTTTTGCCAACGGGATTGCGCCAACAATGTAGATGTAATAAAACATTTGACTGCTGACCACTTTTTGAACTAATTGCTTTAACCAAAAGAATGCTGAGATAAGAGCAAGGCTTAAAACCTCAGTTGGGTTCCGAACCCACGAACCCCATTGCAGGTTTGCGCGTACCATCCACCACACCAACCAAGTCTCAATGGGTCAGTTCTAGGTTCTTATTCCTAGACGAGCTTGTATATGAAAGCAGGAAACTGATACATAGCTTTGCTAACCATTTATTAGCACTATAACCTTTCTGCAAAGCGCTATTATTCATGGCTTCATCATGGCGCTTCCACTGATTAGCACAGACTGTTAGTTTTGGATACCTTGCCTTCACTTTATTCCTGTAAGTTAACGATCGGCACTGATGCCTTAGCGCAAATGTCATTTCCACTTGGAGGTTAGGATTGATTCTAATCTTATCGGATACTTATATTTATTTGGATACTTGGACGATCCGTCCCTACTGGTTGTGCGAGCCTCAGCACATTCTCTATTTTTCGGAGTTTTGCTGGTTTAACCATTTCGTTAACATGGAGGACCGAGATCAGCCTGTTCAAAGTTTGCTCCAGGTCGTCACCGTCACCAGGCAGTCGCCGTCTTTGTGGATCAGAGGGAGATTTGCCACCATGCGACTAGTTTAAAACCGGGACGGTGGTGGACCCTGGTGTCGGTAATGGTTTACTCTTAGCTAGGCTTCCTGATGGAAACGCCGGACTCCTTCTCAGCAAGGGAGGCTCTATTGGGACGTTGAGGGGGGATGGCGTACTTATAATACTTAATGTTGTTCACTGCTAACATTTAACTTATTAATTCTTGTTTATAAATAACGTTTTGTTAGGTCTCCTCTGTGAGTTCGTTAGATAAAGATAAGGTCTAATAATAATTGTTTTTCCTATCTAATACAATAACACTTCTCAACATGGCCCGAAAGTTCGATAGAGGCTGTAGTGAGCAACCCGGATGAGGCGGATGTGGGCAAAAACACTTTAATCCATAACGGACGCTCGCCTTTTAGCATGGATATCTGAATGGGATACAAGAGTTCTCTCCGTGATTGGAGGCTTTCTGGTTTTTTGACAATATAAAACGCTTTAATAATTAGAGTGCTTATTTAGCGGGCGAAGTACAGTGGTAGTGGGGCCCGTCATCACGAGCATTCTGCTGGTTCGATCCCGCTTCTGGTTCAACAAGCCTATCATTACTCAAGGATTGGGAAATTGGTACCGCACTTGTCTGGAAAAAAAAACGTAGTTATCTCACAATTCCAGTGAGAATCGACTCGAGCAGCATTCTACGACATTCAAGATGAAATGAAAATCTTCACGCAGCAGCCAAACCCATACGTGAATATTGGAAGACTTTAGTGGATTATAGATACCAGGAAATGAATAGAACGTGGGAAGTGCTGGTATCCGCACAGTAGATGTGAAAAGGTGTTGTATAAAAAGAAGAGTGGTTAAAGGAGTGTGAACACAGCGTAACTGTAGAAGAGCCTTTGCTCTATTGTTCTATGGGCAACAATGATATGTGAGCTAATATTTACAGTGTTTTATTAATGATCCATTTTGCAAATGCATAGTTGTCAACGCTTAAAAGTATTTCGAACCTCATGTTGAATCTATTTCGGTGCCTTTTCTATTCGCGTACTCCGTACAATAAACGTGGATGAACTAACGGTTAAATGTTTGCCAGATTATGAATGAACGTTTTGGAAACAAGGTTTTTTTTTGTAAACGTAAGGGACGGTTTTTCCGATCTCATCCATCCTGTTTCGATTTTCTTTTCGATTAGCTATTGAATGAATGCACGTCGTGCAGAGAAAGAAAAATTCTGGAACTCACTAAACTGAATATTAACACTATAGTACCAGGTACGACACCAATGCCAAGATCCACCACCGTCCTGGTATTAAACTAGTCGCATACTAACAAATCCCTCTGTGATGCACAAAGACAGCGACAGCCTGTGGTGGTGGCGACCTGGGGCATACTTTGGCTAGGCTGACCTCGAGATTCGAGGGAACTGCAAGGGCTAAATCAGCTAAACTCCTTTCTAAACTAAAGAAATGGAAATTACGCTGAAGCTTGCACAACCAGTGAATACAGGCCGTCCAAGTATCTAACTAAGTATCCATACGGAGGGTTATGGGTTAGTCATAAGTTGGATTTGAATCTTCGGCTGGACAGTGTGGAAGATGTTGTTTATTTTGATTAATTACCAATTTCTCCTAAGTGCGCATTTGCTTTTCTGTGCCTCTATAGCTATTTGAGACATTGGTATCCATTAGTTAACGTCTTTGAGTGATTCATGTAACTTTATTATGTCGGATATTTTTTGTATTTTCTCTTCTAACCTTTCTTTCATGTCTGCAATTTCTTTGTGGAACATTTATGTTCTCTCATCGGCAGAAAAAAATTCACGGTTATTAAACTATTCACTGCTTTTCTTGATGAGCAAACGCAGCAGTCGTTATAACAACATTTATTAACACACAATGGCTGAGTTTCTGTGGTTTAGGTTTCCTTCATCAAAGGCTGGAAGGCTCAAATTGACTCGCAGCCTACTTAGCCAAAAAATTTCACAACGTCAGGAGACAAAACTTAGTACATAAATTATCATTCGCGTAATAAACATCTGGTTTTAAACACCCACTGTTTTAACTGCCACGACCGACTTTCTATTAACCTCGGCATTGATCAAGTGATTTTCTTCGTATTTTTGTTGAGTAAACGCGAGGTGTTACTATTCTTTGTTCACGATTAAGCTGACGTTTCGGCGGATTTCGCCTTCTTCAGAGCCGCTTTCTATGAGGTTTCTACTAAGTATGTCACGTAGAGACCAACCGCACAGAAATCACATGGAAGTATAAGTAACCAAATCACATTACGCGTTTACTCAACAAAAATACGAAGAAAACCCACTGTTTTGTTATTCATACAGTGTATGGGCAAGGAATGTGCATGGCTCAGGTCAAAAAATCAACCTGTGATATGGCGAGCGGTCACGCGTTACGAAAAGGCATTACTGCCTTCGGTCCATCTTTGGATTTTTGGAGTTTATCAAAACTTTTCAAGAGTTCTACGCGCCGATATTTTGGATTTCGGTGCGAAGATAGTGGCTTTCATATCAAAAGCTTCTCCATTATGTCTGTGTCATATGCTCGGCTAGTAGAGTATTTGGTTTAATATTAAATTTACCGACTAGGTATACTTTTATACGGATGCGCAATGACTGCCCGCTTCGTCAATATATTCGTCTCCTCATGCTTTACATGATAGCAGATAAACCGTACCCGAACGGGAGCAATCACCGCCTCTACCGCTTGCTGCAATTTTGCGTTGTGCATAAGCGGTCATATAGGGGCCTACGAACTTAGTGGCGTCTAAGCTGTCTGGTGGTTTTTCCATCATTGATACCGAATTCTCTAGACCGGCTCTTTTTAAGCAAAGTTTTAAAGATGTATTTATTTTGCCGAAGATGAGGAGGCAGATCGTTTGCGGGTGAGATTCTTCCTCTAAACCTACCCCGGAGAGAAATGGCCGCTTGCCACGCCAATCGCAGAGATTCTTGCTTTTGCCTTCTTCCTGTGCGCACATTGGTGACTGTTCGAAACATGTTCCTCACAAGCAATCTTTGTCGTGCATGAGAGGTGAGAGAATAGGTAACGAACCACGAAATTTTTGTTCCTTGGCTTTCGGAACCTCTTCGTGATGTAGCCACTTTCGGAAAGGTTAATTCGAATGTTCAGAAATAGTGTCCAGTTTCTTTTCGGTTTTCCTCGGGTGAAAATTATATACTCTGGCTGTTTGTTTACTAACTCAAAACGTTAGCTTGAAATATCTTGTTGTGGTGAGCAGATGATAAAACTATCATCAACTACAAGACAAACTACAGTAGTGTAATGGCCGGAGATGGATATTGGTGATTTCACTCTAGACACAAAGACAGTAGCAGGGGTGGGTGCTAGTTATTGACTCATTGCCAACCCTGTAATTTGTGTGTAATATTTTCCGAGCATTTATAAGACTCCGGACCGCTGGTGCTCGCATGATGTGGTAGTGAACGCGTTAGCTCCCTGAAAGATTAATGGCGTACTCGTTCCCCACCACAAACACCAACGGTTCTGAGTTTTTCGAATATCTCAACATCACTATAGTTATATTCCATGTAATATCCTACCATAAAAAAAAGAAATAAAAAGTGACTACATTGCAATTTTCTGAGCAATTCGAATACTACGTTGTTTAGGCCCTCCTTTATAAGTCTGAAGGCCATGAGCTGCAAAATCAAAAACCCATGCATGTTTGTTGTTTTTTTTGTGTTACATAATGAGTTCAACTTATGGTTTGCAATGCGAAACGGTCATTCGACGACACAGCGTGAAGTACAGTAACGTGGAAAGACACCATCACGTGCGCGTTGTTAGACGCGCGTGAAGAAGATGATCCAGGGTTATTTGAGTATTCCTGTAATGGACTGCGATGTGATTTATGAACTGAATGAGAATTAGTGTTAAAAACGATGTTCTTCTATTCGTTGGTCCGTCGTCATGCGCTGTTTTGCGCTGCTGTGAGGTTAGAACTAAACTCTCTGTCGCGAAAATGCCTGAGGATTTTAAAAGCTCCGTCCGAAAATATGCGGAAATTTGTGTCGATTTCGCCGTTGATATATTGTTATGTGAAAGGCGTTCGAAGAATAGGAGGTAGTGATAATATCGCTGTTCCTTATTTTTCGTTCTTGTATATAGCTTCTTGTATACAGAGTTGATCTTGAAGCTCGTGCAGATTGCATGGTTTCTGTATACTCTATACAGGGTTTCTTCAGGAAAGCGCTGCGCTGATGAGAAACTTGCGCCTAATTCTAATAGTGAGCGTGCACTTTTAGGAAGAATCGTGTCTCCTAACAATGTAACCCTTAACTTTTCTGGCACGTTATCGACACTCGCTTTTGGTTAAGGTTACATTCTGGTTATTCTTTATTCTGGTTACACCTAGTATTAAACTCTTCCTTAATTTCACCTGAAATAGAGTTTTTGTGATCCAGAACATTTATGATATTTATGTGGTGAACAAATCAGTTGGATTTCTGAAATCAAATCGTAAGGAATATTGTTTTTGATTTATTGGATCGTTGTATGAATGACTTTTGTTCGAAGAAAAAGGATTTCCTGTGATGATAGTGCGTTTATGTGTAAGAATCTTAGGATATTAGACGTAGGAGACTAATATTCTTCTGTTCTCAAAGAAAGATTCTAATGAAGTCGTCGATGAATTCAACGAGTTGCAGGCTTGGTGTCATCTTGGTTTGTCGCATGCAGAGAATGAGAACGATTCTAAAGCCATACTAGCTCTCAATGAATGTCTGAAAATTCAGCCGGATTATCAGCAGGTTAGACATTTTCGAAAGTGTATTTTTTGATTTAAGCTAGATTCTTGCTAATTATTCGTGCCGTCAAATTAAAGTTTTTTTGTGAGCAAATTAGTGAAGCGGGCTCGTGAAAGGTCTCCAGGCGATACGTCACTAGTTTGTAGAAGACATGCTGTCATCAAAAGAGTGCTATGAATTATATCACTTAAGTCGTTGTATGTGGATCATCAAACTCTCGAAACTGCTTCGTTTATCCTGGAAAGACTTTTTCCCGCCAATCTTGATTTAATAAATACCCATTTTTCCTAATATTTTGTGGACTGTTTTTCTTGATGAGCTAACACTAAGTTGTTACTAAAGCACTATGCACACAATAGCTGACTTTTCGCGGTTTCGCCTTTTTCAGAGCCTGGAAAGGTCAAATTGACTTGCAGTCTACTCAGTGGAATACTTTCATAACCTCAGTAGACAAAGTATAATACATAAATTTTGTGAACTGTTCTCGTTTTGATCACGTCATTTTTGTATGCTTGTTTTGGAAATCAACGATTACTTCGTAGGCTCTTCTTGCCCTAGCAGTCTCACTGACGAACGAGTCAGCCGACAACAGCGCCCTGACTCAGCTAGAGAAGTGGCTGGTGGCTCATCAGGGCGGTGATCCCACGATTGTGCAGCAGAGAGCACGTGCTGCCTTTAGCTCCTTCCTCGATGCTGACACCTTCAAACAGGTAAATGTAAAAAATTTCATGGTGATACGGATGTTCAACGCCAACCAGTGTTCACGTTCGAAACGCTGAATACTTTGCGCTCATATCAGTGTCCTAAGGTTTTTACTCCTCGATTTAGCCTCGAATCGCTTCCGGTGACCATAATTGGGTAAGGTATGTCACGTTCCTAGAAGTTAATACTGACAAGCATCGTCAAATTTATGTTAGAATAACTTTTTAGTAAGAGGTTTAGTAGCACTTTACTGAAAGTCTTCTTTATGCGGGGTTAGATTTTATTGAAAGATGGAGCTTACAATGTCGTATACCGTTTCCATGCAAAACTAAATAATATTGAAAGAAGAAATAAAGAGGTGATCAACAGTGTTTTCAGCCCATTATTGACTACTTCTGCAGGTTGAAGAGCGATTTCTGAGTGTTGCACGGCAGCAATCAGGCAAAACCGACGCTGACCTCCAGAATGCGCTTGGAGTACTGTACAACCTTAATAAAAATTACGATAGGGCAATCGAGTGCATGAAACTTGCCATAGCGAATCGTCCAGATGTGAGTGCATTTGTGTACGACAAAAACGGTTTTTTTAATCGACTACGTACTTGCTTGGATACTTCGATGGCCCCCATCACTAGTTGTGCGGCCTCCAGCGTAATCTTCACTGTTTCGAAGTTTTGCTGCTTTAGCCATTCTGGTTTTCTGGAATCCTAAAGTCAACCAGGCTAAAGTCTGCCTCAGGTCATCATCACAATAGGCAATCGCTGCTCTCGTTGATCAGGGAAAAATTTGCCACCATGAGCTTGGTATCAGAGCGGTAACTGACCCAAGCATTGGTTTATTCTTAACTAGGCTTCCTGATGGAAACGCCGGACTCCTTCTCAGCCTGAGAGATCCTGCCAGGGGTATAAAACCCACTCTGCACATCGCAGCCTGACACCCAAGAACACTTACCATCTATGATGAAGAGGTAAACTTGGAGGGGAGGGGGGGTTTATCGACTACAATTTTGGAAATTTGGTTAAACTCGAAATTATAGGTATCTATCGATTTTGAACATTCGTTTTTTCAGTTTTATGGAAATGTCTGTTGTAGCTCTAGATTTGAACCATAGCTGTGTTTCTTATAACAAATATCATCATTTTGGCTTATTCGTACTCTTAGGATCCACGTCTTTGGAATCGCCTCGGCGCCACTTTAGCGAACGGCAATCGTACTCCAGAAGCCGTGGCTGCGTATCGAGAAGCACTCAAGAGGTATCCACTCTACGTACGAGCACGCTATAATCTTGGAATCAGCTGTCTTCACCTTAACAGTTATAGGTGAGTAGATATTGGACATTTATTTCAATGCTACTAAAAAATCTATTGCTTGCGCTTTTTTAGCTGATGAAAAATTGCGAAGACATGTCATTTCACGTAATTGTAAGGCTTGCGAGCGTAACGAAATAGACCGTAGTAATTTCTGTGGCTTAATGATCTTAATTGGCAAGCATTATCAGCATGGTGCTAAATTTTATTTTTTTGAATAGACATATCTCTTTGAAAAACGTAGCTTGAAAATCAATGATTGGTTAGCGCATATTTAGTGGTAGTGCTAGTGAGAATATAAGAATCTAATAGTTGTGTCATAGTTCCTTCTTGAAGGGAAGCAATCGAGCACTTCGTGTCCGCCTTGGAGCTACAAAAGGGAAGCGCGGACACTTCGCCTATTTGGCCGACAATGCAGTCAGCAACCATTCGGATGCAAGACGCACCTGATACGCTCTTTTCAGCACTGAGTCGACGAGACTTGAACGCTTTCAAAGCAGTACTTATGCAGACACGATCAATTTGAACTCTGTCTTTATATTGGAATTTATGAATACTCTGAAAAGAATTTGAGTGTAGTTGTTTTTTTATGCGGATGATACGGTTTCATTGGTCGCCTCGTCAAAGTTTCTATCATTGGACAACCTTGGATTTTGTGGATATCATTGTTTGTGCATGCGATCAGTTTCCTAAAAAAAANAAAAAAAACGAAGAGTACGATTTCACTTTTCCTAGTGTTACATATCAATTTTTGGTTTAACAAAAAAATTGTCGTTGCTATACCAATTACTAGCCCAAGAGCTTTTGAACTATATCCTCCAATCAACGACTATTGTAGTATAGCAAGGCCGCTGTGCTCGCGCGTTCATCGGTCCGGTCACCGATGTAGGATATACGCAACTTTAAGGCTTAAATTGGCCAAACTCACTAACCATATTTTTAACTTATGCTTTCAGTAAGTGATAAAGCTAAATGGTACATGCTTGGTTTCCTTTTCTTTTTTTTTTGTCAAATCTACTCAGGTCTAGTGAATTTCGATTCAAGTGGCAGTATGAAGCCAATTTCAGTTTCATTTTTCTTTGTTGTGAACAAAAACCACTGAAACCTTAGAAATACGGGTTTAATAAACGACACACATTTCACTTTTCTCATAGCATTTCAGCAATTTTAAAACAAGTGCGGGTAACCTTTTAGTTTCTTTATTGAACCAAAGGTGCCTTTAGCCGATAGTCTTCCACACTGTATCGTGATCACATCTTTGTCATGGGGCATTGTAATGACCCACAAACTACCTAAACAGAGGCAGGCAATAGTGAATGAACGTCGCAATCAGGCACGCTGTCTTCAGAATTGGACGTTTGAACGCTGTGAGAATAAGCAATCATATCGGCAACGGTTTTTTTTTGAGGAATTAACCGACATGGTATTGAGCATTTTTTTTGTCGAAAAATGCTAAACATAGTAAAAAAAAAAACGGGCCTTATTTCTCTAACCCCGAAAGAGAGAGCCCCCAATTTCGCAGCGTTAGGTAGTACGAGTACGGAGAGGCTGCTAAAATCTCAAAGCCAATAGAAATGGTCTAGATTTCAATAAACTATGGCGACGACCTGTACCTACAATGCACAACGCCGTCTATGACACCGAAAAAGAACTGTTTCTCGCAACATGCGACAGTAGAGGAGTCGGCAGCGTCGGCGTTCTCGCTAGCACGAGTTTGTCCATGAACATCGATTCATTCGAGCAACTTACAACTCGAATCGGACGTTTACGACTAAGAAGTCGTGCATCAATTCCGGCTTTGACAATCTTCGTCGTTTACGCGCCGACATCGAACTATGACGAAGAATAAGTTGAAGCGTTCTATATGGTCTTGGAGAAGTTCTGCAGAGAAGACCACAAATTCTTCAAGGTCAACATTGGAGATTTCAACGCCATGATTGGACCAAGAAGAACGTCTGAAGAACGTCACATTGGGATCCATGGATTAGAATGAAACGAACAGGGTGAGCGGTTGTCTGAGTTTATCATGGCGAGAAGCCCCACCCTCAGCGCTGGACGTGGGAGTCTCCCAATGGAGAGTACCACAACGAAATAGACCACGTCATAGTAAATACGTTTTGACTAACCGATGTCGTTGTTGTTCCAAAATCCGACACGGCAACAGACCGTCGTCTCCTTCATGCAAGTTTCTATTTCTCGTGGAAAGGAGAAAAAGCCGCTAAATTCCAAAACCGAAATCCCTTGAGGAAGCTTCGGTGGGCCTTGCGAATGCTTTCCCCAGCCTCTGCAGCTTCGGCCCCCCGCGATTTGAAGACGTGATTCCTGTAACAGTTCCCTGGATCGACTTTCTATTAACCTTGGCATTGTATTATACTTCAAACGCGTCGTTTTGTTGTTCAGCAGTCGCGACGCTGCTATACAGATATATTCACTTTCATGGAAAAGCACATAATACAGCAGTTGCTGACGTTTTGGCAGTATCGCCTTCTTCAGAACCTGGATGGATATACTGATATACGATTTAATTAGCCAAACACTTCAATAAAACACAAAAAGATGAAAAACTCCATATAGGTATATATATATATATATATGTATATGTATATATGAATATAAATGTAAACGATAAATAAATATAGACATAAATAATTTGGCGAAAGAGGCTT